CCCAAACCACCAAATAGAACCGCACATACTATTAAGTTTCATGCTGTGGAAAATATGAAAAAATTACACAAGAAAAGAATCAGAGGAAGGGATGCCATAAAATTTGAAGCCACTTAAAGGGAAACAGTATCGTGACATAAACAAATATACCGGCGGCTTTCCATAAGTCTTCAAGGTTGACCAAGTACGCGCTGGCAGATCAAACACCTTCACTGGCAAATGAATGGAACATCGCATTAAGCAGCAAAACAAATATTCAAGTGCAAAAGATTCTAGAAAAATGTCTATATGTTGACAGCAATACTTCTCTAATTACCACCCCCAATTTGTTATCAAGATAGTCATTAAGCAAGATTACCAACAAACACCAAGAAGATACAACTCCTAGCCAAATATGTGAGCTCTTAAATGATATACTGTCAGCTTACATGATAGGAAGATACCTCTAAAGTGGAAGCAAGTTCCATAGGACAAGTGTGAAAGCAATGTTAGAGCACAATGAATGTTGCACCTTATCAGGATGAGTGCCATAAAAAAGTGAACGGTAAAATTGACGTGAAGCTGTCATTCTTTTGGGACAACTAAACAGAAAATTGTGTCAAATAAAATGGGACAGAGGGAGTAACTTGAACTGAATAAGAAACTTAAAAGTGCACTTTTTCATCTAACCTAAAATTAATTTGGTTTGTGAGCTTCACTTAGATGTCTTTTACTTCATCTATTTCACTTAATTATAGATTTTTTTGGATTACTTTGTTCATGTAATTGTCTTTTCTGATTATATCTTTTCTAGCATTACAGATATAATATTTTACGTTTTCCTTCATTGCGCCTTTCTTTACTAAAGCACACTTTAATTGTTCTTTGAACTTAAAGCCCCAGCAGACCTAGGGTGCTTTCTCGCACATTCTGCCTTTGACAACACTCTACTAAATCCCATCTTACACTGCTCTTCTACAAATTCAAAGTAAATGGAATCAAGCTTAACAATATGAACAAACCTTGCATAGTTTCAGCAGGATCTTTTGTATGTCCACCAACAGAAATGAGCTTATTTCCTTCCCATGGTATCTATAAAATACAACAGAAAAACTCAAATTGAAAAAGAAAAAAAAGGAATACATGCACGCACCCACAGAGAGAGAGAGAGAGAGAGAGGGCAACTGAATGAGCTAAGAGGGATTTCAAACTCAAATGAGAGTTCAATCCTTGTGCAAATAGAGCATAAAGGGGTGTCACTACCACAGTATTAAACCAATATCTGTACTAACCAGGGAGTGGCCAGCAAAGGGAGCTACTTGCACTTGAGAAGCTTCGCCAGCTGTTTTAACCTCTACTTTAGACCATGTCCAACTTCTCAAGTCCAAAGCCTGCAATGACCCTCACTCCTTATCAGACACATTGAACACCAAGATACCAAAGAAGAATAGTTACAACTTTCTCAGGGATTTCTTTTTTCTTTTAAGTAAAGGGTAACGACAAAATCACAGAAAAGAACGAGATGTTTGTATTAAGCCTAATAACTAGCTGTCGAGCACAACCACCAATAAAGGGTAGCCAGAGTATAAAAGATCTGCTCATTCATGAACTAATAATTAAGAAATCATTGATGATCTTCTAGAAATATCAAAGACCATCTTATGCAGATCACCCAGATCACCCACCTGGAGATCGCTAAGGTAACGTCCATTGTGATTCCCTCCAAATATATACATCTTATCATCAATAACGGCTGCTCCATGCTGTAAAAGTAGATTGAAACTATTTGAGAAAATGAAAATTTTAAAAAATAAAAAGAAGGAAATGCAGAACTGAAACCTCGTATCGAGCTTTTGGCCGTGGACCAGATATAGGAGGTGCAACCCATTGGTCATACACACCAACTGTACCAAAGCCTTCTGATACAACATCTTTATCCTGAGGTTCTGACAGGTTCCCATTTTCAGCAGGAATAGTTTTTGTCTCAAGAAGAACAATTCCATTTTCGGTAACCGGCTCAGCTATTGTATCATTCTGAACCAAAGAGGAATAGGGACATCAAATAAAAAGAAAAATTCTGTACCTATTCTCTACCTCCTGGGTACAGTCAATAAAATAAGTTTACTAATCAGAAAAAGAAAAATTGAAGCAGGAAACAATGAGAAAATGGATGCAGTTGAAGAAGCAAGAACAAAGAATCATATAAACTAATACACACTCACATTCTTTTCCACCTGAACTGCAGGTTCTGAAACAAAATTTGAGGCCCGTGAATACCATCCTGGATCTTCTTCCTACCATAACGATTAAAGAGTTTACTTCATACTCCCAAATTATCAAGAGTGGATAAAATTGATTAGCTCTACACAAACCTCCAATATTTTCACAAAAAGACGCATTGCCTCTGTGGAAGCCATGTTTCCAAGACCATTCCAGCTTCACAAATACGAAACATCTTAGTACACATATTCAAGCCTCATTACAGTATATGGAATACTTCGTACTAGTACGGTAGAAAAGAACTAATCTACACAGGCCTCTAAGGCCATATGTACAATAGAAAGAAGAGGAGGAGAGAATGGGAGAAGGAGAGACCAACCAATCAAAATTATCACTCCATATTGGAAACATCTCCAATTAACTGCCAGCTAACTAGCTACTGCAGCAGGAGAAATATAAAACCCAGCATAGAATAATACAACATTTTGTTGCTTGCATAAGGAAATATAATCGATGCGTTATTCATTGCAGCGTTTGGTTGGCGGTATCAAATAATACCCACATTAAGTTATTTGGGAACCTATGAATAAGTTTATGCGGGATAGAATGCTCAATAAGAATACATGTATTAGCAATGCTGAGATTAGAATATTTAAAGATAAAACTGTCCTAGAAAGTAATTCTTGTATAACAATAAATCCCTTTCCTATTAATCACCGCATAACAAACTATTCATTATTAATCACCACATAAATAATATCAGCATTATAATCCCAACAAACTAGTATGTGAACCAAATGAATGCTAATAGTAATAATGTATTGGTTAGCAGTCAGTTTGCATACACGTCTTCTCGGGATTAATTAGAACATTAAACTATAGGTTTTACAAAAACATAAAGAACAACAAGCATCTGTGCATATCCCGTTGCATTAACAAGTAAAGGAAAAGGTAACTAGTAAACAACCTAGATAACAAGATCAAGTTCAGGTAATATGCCAATCATAGAGTTGATTGAAACAAACCTCGTCCATTTGCTTTGTTCTACTGGACTCCAACTTCTAGGCTTACGAATCTTACAAGGTCCTACAGTTGCCTGAACCAAGTAGAAAAAAAAAAAAAAAAAAAAAAAAAAAAACTTACACAGAGAGCCAGAGCTTTCACAAATCCAAGAATAAGTATACAATGTATAAGCAACACAACGAAAAATTACATGCAACACGCCTTCAATTTTATAGTCAATGCATATAATTCGATGTGATTCCGACATGAACCCTCTAGATCTACGAGAATTTGAACCAAAACAGTTTGCAAAACAGGCTTTCCAATTAAATTATCACAATTAAACGCTTCATAAAGTTAATAATAAAGCTAAGACACTGTAATTCACATAATGCAGCACTAGATCAAGCCATTGAAAGAACTCGAAGTACACAAATGAAATTCCGTGTAGAACAGAAGAGGCAAATGAAACCGACAGAAAATGTGAAGGACCTGTTGATAGAGGGCATAAAGTAGAAGAACACCGTCGTTGGAGAACTTGGAGCTGACACCTTTAGTAGAGGAATCGGGAGATCCATCAAAACCAGCATAGGCTGCCGCTGCATAGAATCGCTCCGGATACGCGAGGCCAGAGCTTACCCTCGCCATCGCCGCCATTTCACTTCTCTCTCTCACTCCTCTGAAATTTTTGTGCTTTTCTTCGGATCACAATTTCAGATCCTGATCAATGAATTGTACAAGAAGGTGAAATTGGAGTAATGGTTCTAATTTCTTTTTTCTTCTTTTTCCTTTTTTGGTTTACCGTTTATATATCACTTATTATCAGAAGATTCAAGGAGTGATTTGAATTGAAATTTGACAGAATTCTATGGAGAACGTTGCAGTGTCGTACTTTTTGGTTTGGGAATTGTACCCTCCCTGACGGTTGCGATACGCTAGCTGAGGTTATTATAGACAACCTGCACCTAATCGAAAATCCAAACAAACAAGACGACAACAACAACAACAACAACAACAACAACCCAGTGTAATCCCACTAGTGAAGTCTGGGGAGGATAGTGTGTATGCAGATCTTACCCCTACCCGGAGGAGTAAAAAGGCTGTTTCCGAAAGACCCTCGGCTCAATAAGACAAAAGGACAAAAGAACAAAAGGAAACAATATTAGTAACCCCCAGAACAATATGAAAGAAATATATATATATATATGGAAAAATAAGAACAACATGAAATCAAGAGGCATGATACCAAGCAAAAGCAAAATAGTATCCTTACCAAACTAGTCCCCCAAAGTTATGACATAAGACGATACTCAGCTACCTCCTAGCCTACAACCTAGGGCTGTGCATTTGGATCGGATATCCGAAATCTGATCCGATCCACTCTATTTTGGATTTTCGAATTTCAAATTTCGGATTTTCGGATTGGATACGGATTGTGTTTTATGAAATTTCGGATTTTCGGATTGGATTCGGATTGGTATGATTTTAATCCGATCCGATCCGATATCCGAAATTATATGTACCTATATAAATACACACTAAAATTTTAGGGTTATGCTTATTCATTTTTCACACACCCCCTCACTCACTTAGATTTTTCCGCCTCTCTTGCACCTCTCTTCTCTTCAGTGAAGACTAAAAGAGTCTCAATGACTCAAACTTCCGATTTTACTTTGATTTTATGTCTCTTTCTTCCGCCTCTCTTCTCTTCTCTTCTGTCTTTTATGTCTATTTCATGTTCTATTCTTCAACTTTTGATTTTATTTTGATTTTTTTGTTTGTTTTGATAGATGAAAGATGAGATAGAGACACCGAATGAACTTTAAATTGTTGAAAATTTTCGTGACAATCTGATCCGACAATCCAAAAAATTATCCGATCCAAAGTTTAAAATCCGATCCAATCCAATGTTAATTCGGATCGGATTCGGATTGCCCTTTTCAGAATTCGAAATTCGAAATCCGAATCCGAAATATGCTAAATCCGATCCAATCCGATCCGTGCACAGCCCTACTATAACCTTAATACTCGACCTCCACATATTCCTATCAAGTGTCATGTCCTCGAAAATCTGAGGCATCGCCATATCCTGCCCAATCACCTCCCCCCAATACTTCTTAGGCCGCCCTCTACCTCTTCTCGAGCCCTCCACAACCAGCCGTTCACACCTCCTTACCGGAGCATCTGGGCTTCTCCTCTGAACGTGCCCGAACCACCTGAGCCTTGTTTCCCGCATCTTGTCATCAATGGGAGTCACGCACACCTTCTCTCGAATATCATCATTCTTGATCTTATCCATCCTACTATGCCTGCACATCCACCTCAACATCCTCATTTCTGCTACCTTCATCTTCTGGATATGTGATTTCTTAACCGGCCAACACTCAGCCCCATACATCATGGCCGGCCTAACCACCGCTTTATAGAACTTACCTTTGANGAGTCAGTGTGACTCTCGGAATGCTCCAATTCACCAAGCACAATATCCCGATCCCCTACTTCATTGAGAAGTGTTTGGAAGTAAGTCTGCCATCTCCTCTTAATCTGGGAATCTTCCATCAATACTATATCATCGTCGTCCTTAATGCATCTCACTCGGTCTAAATCTCGAGCTCTCCTCTCTCTCAGCCTGGCCAGCCTAAATAACTTATTCTCCCCTCCTTTCTCCCCTAGTTCCTCGTACATACGACTATAAGCCGCAGTCTTAGCCTCTGTAACCGCCAGCTTCGCTTCCTTCCTAGCTACCTTATACCTCTCCATGCACGCTCGCCTCTCCCCCTCACCTATGCTCCCCACTAACTTTCGGTACGCCTCCTTTTTCGCTTTCACTTTACCTTGTACCACTTCATTCCACCACCAGTCTCCTTTGTGCCTGCCGGAGACGCCTGTTGAGACCCCTAACACCTCTCTCGCAGCTGTCGTTGACCACATAGAGTTCGCGTCACCACTGCTCCTCCAGGCTCCCATAACCGACAACCGCCCTTCCAACTCTTGAGCTTTGTCCTTAGTTAAGGCTCCCCACCTGATTCTCGGACTTCCTCGAGCAGACATTTTCCTCCTCTTCACCATAGTACCAACGTCCATCACCAAGAGCCTAAAATCCAAACAAACTGATTAGATAAATAATTTGTTTTTTTATTTTACTTTGGTTTAATAAGTACTTATTAAACTTTAAAAATTGTTAACAGTATTTGATTTGGTTTCATGTTAAGCGAAAAGTATCGGACGAGAACGAACCAAAACTGAGAAAATATTTGTAACCATTTATAATTAGTTTTAATATATATTTAGAAAGGAAAAATTACGCTCAAATACAATTGATACCATGATGCTACCAAAATTGGCCCATATTTTTAAATGCTACCAAAACTAACCCACATTGTGTATGATATGTAAAAATTATTTCACCCTTTAGCCCTAGTTGCTAACCAGGAAAAACAAATGATTAAAAGACTTTCCCTCTTTTCCCTCGTCTTCTTCGCTGCCTCCTCACTCTTTCCATCATCTTCTCCACCAGAACCCCTTCCCTTTTCACCGTCTTCCATTACTCTCTGTTCCTATCTTTTCACAGAAAATATTTCCTTACCTATTTTCTTTTTTCCTTTGTCACACCACACAAGTTGTATCCTTTGAATTGGAATTGTAGTTTTAGATCTGAAAAAGTCATCTTCGTTGAGGCTCAAAGCTCCATGATATGGGCCATGGATGTCCCTGTGCATTAAACTCAATTGTGTGAAGAATTTTGAATGGAAATTTTCGATTCTACTAATGAGTTCTCTAAACAGTTGACTCGAATGTTTTGAATTTTTTTAATTCGAATAACATTGTGCCTTCGTGCTTCAATTTGGATGGGTGTTGATTAATAATGGTACTTTTAATTGGTGAGGCAAATTTTTGGTGTTAAAATAGAGGTGTGGTGATAAACATAAAGTGTTTTCTAGTTTAAATTTTGTATAATTGGTATTTATACACACTTATACAATATTGTAAAATTATGTTTAATTGTGTATAAATATGTATAAGTATGTATATTTGTGTCTAATGTTATATAAATATAATTTTTTTCATTGGTACAATATTGTGTGTGTATATATATTGTTAGTGTATAATTGGCTTCCACGAAAGTTTGATACTTTCTTCTCTTCTTCTTCTTGTTTTTCTTATTTTTTTTTGATATACATTATTATATATTTTATGTACAAATTTATACATTATTATACATATAATGTACATGTACAATTAAAACTAAAATTGAAATGTTTGTATTTTTTCTTACTTTTTCTCGGAAAATCTATGTATAAAATCAATTTATTTGTTTTTTTCTGCCAAATTACAAACTTGGAGCAATTTTTTTTTTAAATTTCTTTTTCTTTTTATTTTTTTATTTCTACCATTTGGAACTTGGGGAAGAAAACAAATATAAGATTTGACAAAGATCCTTCAATTACATTAATGGTTCTAAGATATATCACTATTCTCATTTTATCATCTAAACAATCTAAGTCTCCTCAAGAATTGTAGATGTTTCTACTGCTTCCTCTTCTATACAATTTCTCATTAAGAAAAGCAAATTCAAATATAAAAGCCTTACGTGTTTTCAGAAAATAAATGGCATCATTGAAGTTGATTGTTTCAATTGGAATCTGTGCGAAGCGTAGGAATTCATGAAGAAGAATAATAGCAGTAGTTGATGGTGTAAAAAAGCTTTTTTCGGACCTTAACCTTTTTATATTTGGGCTATAAATTTGTAAAGTTGTAACTGGGCTAACTAATTGCAATAGGAAAACTTTCGTTCCTATACCATATAAGAAACTATATTACCAAATATGTTCATAGTTTGCATATTACCCTTCATGCTAATAGTATTTCTATAAAATATATACAATACATTAAATAAGGAATCATTGTAGTTGTAGGATTCCTTATTTAGGTGCGCTAAAAAGGGAAATTAAATATTCTTCCAGATCTTCCACAATGCAAATCACGCACAGTAATAATTATCGTCGACTTCGTTACAAAATTTCCGTACTCTGTTTTTGCGATATACTCTGTTTCAATATTTTCTATGATTTCACAAATCAAAAACGACCAAATCTTCTACAATTCTTCTGCAACAAACGCAATTATGGCGAAAATCCCAATTATGCTACAACTGAATGAGAATTGGGATAGCTATAGGAGATTTAGAGAATTTCAGGTCGATGACATTGTAGTCGATGAGGATGCGAGTTATAGTCTATTGATTTCTACAATAGCACAACAATTAATGATTGATTCATCCGAAAAAATTATAGAAATCAAATACATTGTCAACGAGCATTGTCCTCCAATGGAAATTAAAAACGATATGGGTGTTCGTGTATACATGGAGACGAGAAAGGTAAACAAAAACTTAGGATCATATCCGCTATGTATAACTGTTCGCGATTTCAATATGGAATTGAGTATCACCAATGAGAACACAATTGCAGGTGTGTGGTGTTATTTTTTCTATGAAATTCTAGTACAATGTCAATGAACTATACTTTATCTACAAATAAACTACATATATATCAGTATGGATTACAGAATATCTACAAAACCTCTACATTTATCCTACAATAAAACTACATATAATTTGAAAAATTAATATGAAATACTGAATTTCAACCTTTCTACAAATTATCTACAAAATTTCTACAAACTGGTCATAACAGTATTTATATTTATTTTCATGCAGGTTCGTCTGGAATACTAAAGTTACTTGATATGCCAACATCTCTCGTTATAGAGGAATATGGAAGTATAATAATAATAGATAGTACACCAAGTTCTATTGAAGTAGGACAGATATACCAAGACAAGGAAACAATTGCAACTGCAATGAAGCACTATTTGTCATGCACAAGTTCCAATTCAGGGTTAAAAGATCTAGTGC